TTTTAAAAAAAAAAAAAAAAAAAAAAACGAATATATAATACGTCGTAAAAACTAACCGACCGACGGCGATGCACTTCCGCGGTCAGCGCTAGTCGTGCCGTCTCGTCCGGAAAACCGCGAAAACGAACCGCGTGGACATTCGTACAGCCGCAGACACCGGACGCAGCTGAAAGGTACGGTATTGTACAAAAATAAAAATTTTGTATTTCGATAGTATATATATCGGTAAAACGTAATGCCGCCGAACGGATATAATATCACGAGATTTGGTAGATGTTTACGATAGATAGCAAAAAATAAAAAACAAAAAAAAAAACATGCGATTCTAGCAGTTTGGATCGAAATTTCTGGTAGAAAAGAAAAATCGAAAATAGCTTTTACTTCTGTAAATTTGTCCGTTTGTTTTCCAAATCAAAACTACCAGGATGATGTTATAGCTAGGAAACCATAGTAATTGAATTTTCATACAAATAGCTAATTCCTATCGAATTTATTTTCTACCTTAAGTGTCGCGAAAAACAAATGTATATAAGGCAGACTCTTTAAATTTGTTTATTTTTTTATTCGGAAGACAGTTTTTCACGTGGTACGTTTCTTACGCACCTCGCGGATTTTCCGCCCGATAGTTATTGTCTAATGCAAAAATAATAAATTATCCAGATAACATAGTAAATGCATATTAAATGCGATAATAATTTGTCCAGATAAGATAATAAATAGACATTTTACAATTCACCATTATTCGCCACTCAAAGTTCATCACCAAATGTATTTATTTAAAATCACCATACTGGCTTTAATGTAAAAAATTATTTTAAATTACCATAACTCTGTAGAAAATTACTACTCATTAATTATTTGAAACCCGGGGCGATTGTTCTTCATTCTCTACCCCTATATGCGTCCCTGGAGTTTACCATGTCTTGTTGTTTTGTTTTTTTTTTTTCCACTTTTCACTTTTAATTAATTCTATTATAAGAGTTAAGGTTTACATAGCCACATAGGCAACTAAAAACGAGTGCGTCTAAAATAAGACCGGGGTTTTTTTTTTTTTTTTTTTACAAACAAAAACGAATTTAAAATTTGGCTTTGGATATCCCGGCACGTTTTCGTCATTGTGGCCGGTTCTCCGAGGGAATCATTTGAATTTTTAACGATAGTATACAATGCACATTTTAAGTACTGTCGAAGGACAGTAATATTTTCACTATTTCAATTTATATTTGAATAACAACGTGGGTATACAATTTGAAAAAATCATGCAAATACATAATACAGTTCGTTACCAAATATTGTTCTCATTATTTTTTAAATAATCCCCGAGGATGATCTTTTTCGGCATGAAATCTATTAACGGCCTACGTTAATAATAACATCAATTAGTTTTATTGTGCGGATAAAATTACATTGGCCTAGCTAAAGTTTCTGAAAATTCGATATATAATCATATTAAGCTTCACTTAACATGTTTGTGTGCAAGCTAATTGATATTTTTCTTGTAAGCGTTTTAAATTCTAATTTTTATGAATATCTTAAACGTCGCGGTATTTCAGAACATGTTTAACCAAACTTCATTTAAAATTATTTTTCGATGGAAATTATTTATCGTTAAGTATATTTCACCTTCCCGTTTTCTCACCAATAACAGTATTACCCCAATCACCAACATCAGCACTTTTATTTATTTATATATATATATATATTTTTTTTAACAAAATAATAAGGAACGAGTAAAACAATGTATATTATAAAGGTTATACAATGAGATTACATTTGTTTACTTTTTTTTTTTTTTTTTTTTTTTTTTTCTTTTTTTTTTTGAAACTCTTTTTTTTCTGGTTCTCCGACAGGTTTACTTTAGTACCTATTCATTTACATTTATGGGGCAATGTCTTAGAAACTTTTAGAGTTTCCCGGTCTGCAAAATAACTGTACAGAAAAAAAAAAAACAGCGAACCAAATAGTAATCCCATATCCGTTCGGTTATAATACGATTCGTTTTTTTATTTTTATAGTTATATAATGCTTATGTAAATTTAAGGTTATCCCGAAAATAACAGTTATCGCGATATTTCTACTTCTACGGAATAGTTCGATTGATTGGCTGGTGTTTATTTTTTTTTCAAGTTTCAGGCTCCTGATCGATTATTAAAGGAATGTTTTCTTTTTTCTTTTTTCAGAGGTATAGAAATTATATTATTATTATTAATGATATTATTTTTATTTTTTTTTTTTTTTGAGGATTTTTTAATTAACATCGTTAAAAATTATAATTTACTGAAATAATAATTGCGATACCTTGGTTTCGTTATGATTTGAATTATACGGTTTAATACCTATATTATTATTATATTTTTTTTAGCGTTATAATATTAATTAAACCGTTTCTCAGTATATTGTGTTAAGAAAAAACAATATTTTTTTTTTTTTTTTTAGTTATTTCTCAAAATTCAATACACAATTGGTTCGTGATGAATATTCATGTTGTACCCTATATCATAAATAGTCTCGTTTTTCTTACGTTTATCTCGTGGTCCCCTCTAATTCATTATAAAATTAAAATAAAAATCAAAAAAATGAAATACTAAGTGCACCAAGTAGACAAAACGTTAAAAAAAAAAAAACCTCTTGTTGTTTTTTAATTGGAGGGCCGAATATTGGGTAGAAAAGTTGTTAACAGACAGAATAAAACAACACATCAAAATAAAACCAATACATTTGCTGCTACGCTAAAACTTTAAAATATTAATTTTGTTGATATTCAAAAAACATAAAACTATCCTAATTTGGTTATAACGGTAAAATTTCAGGAGTTGAACTATAGACTGTGACATGTAAATGTGGATGTATATACTGAAAACTGGAAAATTGCAAAATATACTTAAAAAGATGAGAATAAAAAACAGTAAGAATAGATAGAAAGATAGTTTGAAATAGTGGAAGCAGAGAAGAATCTGAAATTGACTATGAAAGAAGAAGAAAGCACTTGGAAACTAATAGTATACTGTATCTTACTAACCAATAGAATATTTTACGTTTACTTAAAGTTTCAAAAATAATAAACAGTACAAAGTAGTATTATACTAAAAAATAACTAATCCGTGTCATCTTATTTTACAATTCAAAATACGTCCACTATACATAACGCACATAATACAGTGTATATACATGCTTATGTTTCCAGATAACCAAATATTTTGGCAGAACGACCTTGGGTATGAGTTTAGTTATCGGGAGATGATATGAGATTTTGAAATATACACTTATAAATAAGATAAATACATTTCAGTTTGTGAATTCTTTCGATTTGAATATAGTTTTTTGATAGTAACACCTATTTTCAACACTAGATTCGAATCGTTTTAAATATTTGTTTTAAAAGAGCTCTGATAAATATTTAGTTTATTTTAAGAAATACCGGAGATATAGTGGTCGTAAAATGGTTTAAAAAAAAAAAAAAAAACAATGTAAAATGCGCGATTTTAAATGCGAAGGATATTGATTAGGTACTGCTTTATGAGAAAACAATTATTTTAGGGAAAAAATCATTAAAATGCATACAACGTAACATACGTTTGAAGTTGTTGATGGTTATAACTCAGGTAGTTTTGAGATTAAAAAAAAAAAGTATAATACATTGTTATTTGAATGAACTATTCGAATCTAGTGTTAAAATTAGGTGTTACAATTCAAACTAAATTATTTTTTTATACGCGAGTGCGTATTGAAATGGATAAAAAACTGGAGTTGATGTTTAAATGTGTATTTCAGCACCTCTCACACCACTATTTCCTTAAAAACGAATTCAAATACAACTATAAAAGTTATTGTCTTTAACGGAAATCCAAAATTATTATATCTATTGTCTGTACGATGAAATATACAATATTTTCTATTTAAACGCGAAAATCATTACTTTTGAGAAACCTATTCTCTAATGTAATGGACACACGAAGCCCAGAATTCGAATTTCATCTGTCGCACGTACACCGCTATGAATATTTATTTATATTCCGTATCTGTGTATCTTTCGGGTTTCAGATGTGCCGATAGTAAATATCCGAAAAACAAAACTCACTAGGTAGTAAAATATTGTCCGTTTCAATATTAATTAGACACGCGAGTATGTTATTATCGTTATGGAAACTGTGTGTAGGTATTATTACTTTACACCGTGAAACTTTTTGAAGACAAATTTAATTACCGAAACACCCGCTTTCACTGTGTTGCGGAAAATAAATGAAAAACCCGTACGGTGTAAAACGAATAATTTCTTCGGCGTACACACTCTCCACGACTATCGACAATGTTCGCAATTAAATTTAAGCTTTAATGAATAGCGGTACGTACCCCATGGTTAATAACGTATTAAAATCTCACTAGGTCCAAGAATATTTTTAACGAAAATCGAGTTTTTCTAAAACTCTCGAGGTAATAAATCTGTTTCCCCCCCACCTCATTTGTTTTTTATTATACAGTCACGTATAAACACGGGCCTGTGTTTATAAATGAAACACGATTTTGTTATTTAATTAAATAATAATAACAATAATAATAATTAAAACTATACACTCTCAAAATTGTAGGTTGTCATGCAGTAGTGTTGTAGGAAACTAAAAAAGTTTTCAAGTAAATATTGCGTACGATAAACTCAAAACGAAATTAATAATATTATTCAATTAATTTGCACAAGTTAAGCGCAACTGAAAACTTCCGACTTAATTCATATATATATGTAATTTAAATTAAACTTACACTACGGTGTTGTAATATCAGTTGTTGTTGAAATTTATTTTTTTCTTTATAATTTTCATTTTAATAACTAGAATCCGACAACACACAGGTAGAAAAACGTTAATTGGAACACGTTGCCAAGTTAAAGTTTTTTTTTACCAATACGATGCGTAATATTGTGATTTC